GGAACACCCTATAAACAAAGAGTCCTATTGAAGAAATCGTGAATGAGACAGTCTAAGCCCATGAGATACATATAGTTGGCTTAGTTCATGTCATCTTCAAAGAGGATGGAGTAGAGTCATATTATTAAGCTAGCTTGAAGAGGTCTCAAATGGGTTAATTATGTGTAGCTACCCAGGCACCATGGCACAACTCACTTCCTCCTGAATCATTTTGCTTACACACACACCTACTATCAAAAGTAGGCTAACTAATTTTTTTGTGCACTAAAATTTATCAAGGGGAACTCATTAATCGATCATAAATCTGGCGGAACCAACAATATTTTTTTGAGCGGGCAAAATCACAAAATGTATTTTAAGTATTGTGTAAGAAATTATATGGTGGGGGGACATAAGCAAACAATAATAAGTTTCTATTTATATAAAGAAATTACAAATTTAAGGGGGATATCATCTAATTCCGCCCTTGCTTAAGGCCACCAATTTGTTAATCGAGTTCAAGCTAGACTCCCCAACTAAGTTTGAGGCAAATTAGATAAGCTCATTGCGAACTCATTGCCCATACTCTTAAGAACTATTTGGCAAGTCATTCATAGGAATCACAACTCCCTCCTAGCTGTTTAACTATAAATTTGAGCTCTTAAGTTATACACGTATAATATTTTATAGCAAGTGTGCTTATTTTTATTTATGTATATCATCATATAGCTTTTTTGTAACACTTATAATTTCAACCCCAACTTAAAGGGTCATGAAAGGGAGAAAATATTTCGTTCGGATACCGCATATTCTGACGGCCAACCATCGGCGGGCGACATGACCGCCGAATGTCCGGACGGAATATTTTTTCCATGAAAAGGCTCTAAGGTCCACAATTTGATGGGGTCTCTTATATTTAAAGCTCTCTATAAAATAAATACCCATATCTTTTCTTCATCTCTTCGGGCTTTTTTTCTTTTCTTTCTAAATTAAGTGACACACTCATAGTGTTGCGGTCAGTCATTTAGAATTGAGTTTCCTCGACGCCTTCACCAGCTACCACCAAATCAAGATGCATCAATTAATGCAAAAAAGGCAGCATTCATCACCTGTGAGGGAGTGTATTGGCTTATAAATATTATAGCAACCTATAAACTCCTTATGGATGTAATCTTTACAAAACATAAAGAAAAAATATTAAGGTATATGTGAATAATGTACTAGTAAAAAGCAAGACACTTGAGCAACAAATAAATGACTTAAAAGAAATCTTTGAAAAATTAAAAAATGTTAACATAAAGTTTAATACATTAAAATGCACATTTGACACCACAACAAGGGAGTTCTTAGGTTATCTCTTGACCCTGAAGGAATTAAAGACAATTCAAAAAAAATTCAAGCTTTGATCAACACGTCATCCCCTCAAATCACTAAAGAAGTCCAGATACTGATTGATCAAATAACAGAGTTGAATCATTTCCTCTCAAAGTCGGGCGACAAGTGTGATTCCTTATTAAAGTCCTTATGGCAAGCAAAGTGCTTTGGTTGGTCATATGAATGCAAGCAAGCATTTAAGAAATTAAAGAATTCTTTAACATTGTTGTCACCCCTCGAAAGCCCAAAGCTAAATTAAGATTTTCCTATACTTGGGAGTCATACCCGAGGCCATCAACTCGATTTTAGTCAATGAGGAGCAAGGGAAGTAGTCTTTGCTCTACTATGTCTGTTGATTCGGGGGAGTCAAACTTAGTTATCCAACAATGAAAAAATTAACATTCTCTGTCATTATTTTTTCCCACAGGCTCTGCCCTTACTTTCAAATGCATCATGTTAAAATCATCACCGACCACTCGTTCAAGTCAGTTCTCACTAAACCAAAACACTCTAGTCAGCATCTTAAATGGGCAGTAGAACTCAGCGAGTTTAATCTCTTCTATCAAAGCTCAAGTCATAGTTGACTTACTGACCAACTTCTCTGGGCTAAGTGAGCCTAACAATGAAACGAAGATCAATACCAACACCTAGGCCCTTCATAATGACGGAGCATCTAGTCACACCTGGGCAGGGCTTAATTTTGCTCTGACAAATTTGATCAAATAACATTTATACAACTTGATAAAAACTGGATTCAAAGTTGCTAATAATCAAATCAAGTACGAGGCCTTTATAGCCATCCTATGGTTTGCTTACGTGATGGGTGCACGACACCTTCAGGTGAAATCTGACTTGCAATTAGTGTTCAATAAAGTAAACAACTACTTCAAAGCCAAATATCAAATGATGGACAAATGTTTCAGGAAGGCTAAGATGGTTATAAGGAAATTTGAAGTCTTCAAAGTTGAACCCATCTCACAAGAAGATAATTTAAGTAGGTAACCTTGTGTCTAAGTGTCTATTTAAGGGAAGGAACACCCTATAAACTCAACCAACCTATCTTGGAAGGAGTTGTAATAATGGAGCTAGAAACCAAGGGAATAAAAAGTTGGGTAGACTCATGCATCTTCTTCCTTATAACTGGAATTATCGTTAGGGA